GTTCTGCGCATGCGCAGAACTAAAAAACAAGATGGCAGTGCCTAGGGCGCCGCCTGGACAACCAGTTCAGGGGCATGGCAGGCCCGGGGCGCCGCCCGTTTCCCCGCCCCCCGGCCCCCAAACCACTACCGCTTAGGCCGAACCGGTAGGACCCCGCCACTGAACCTAGAGGTGCTTTTTGATTGAAAAGATTTGCCGGTGACAACACCGTTGCCCAGGGGATGCCCAGTTACCAAAAGTAATGCAATCTTCAGGGACTTCATTTTAATATTTATAAAACTAGTCTGGCAGATTTTTTTTAAAAAAAAAAATGCATTCACTTATTGTTTTCCTATAGCACAAGCCACGCTTTCGATGGTAGTTGTAATACCTTTGATTTTTTAAACACATTATTAAATTATTTGTGACATACAAAAATGCATCGGCTCTATGATGCTATAACGTAATCCGATGTAATAGCTTTGATGCATTTTTAACTTTTTTTAAAAAAAAACCCACTTTTTTCTTACCATGAAGCTTGTCGGTTGAAGAAAAGCTGCTGTTTTGAAATTATGTCTCTTAATGTGTGTATTTTGCTTGTTTTCCATAGTGCTTTAATACATCAGAAATGATGCTTTTCCATGGAATAAGTACTCAAGCATCTTTGACAGCCATAGAATTTAGTTATCTTTGTCCAGCTATAATTAATCAGATTGATGGCAGAAACTGCATAGTCCATGCAGCAAGTGAAACAGCGGAAGCAGCTCCAAAAACATATTCACTGCAAGTTGGTGAGTTTGCTGGCAGATTTTCCATTTAATATTTCTACTTTTTCTTTTTGATGGTGTAATGCATTCTTATCCCAGGAGTGGCTTTATTTGGGCTGAATTATCTGAATCAAAACATTTTTTTTATCTCAAGGAATAGGTCCTTTTATAAATGCCAACAAACTAATATAAAAATCCTACTGATCTTTCAGATTAGAAAATTATTTTAGCTAGTCGCCAAAATGAAAGAAGGCTATTTAATAAAGAATGTATGTTTGAATCCTTTGATTAAAAAAAAATCTCTTTTTCTTTTCAGCTTGGATCGGTGGCTTTATATCCATTTCCATTATCAGTTTTCTTTCATTACTGGGTGTTATACTTGTGCCACTTATGAATCGTGTCTTTTTCAAGTTCCTCTTAAGTTTCCTGGTGGCATTGGCAGTTGGAACTCTAAGCGGAGATGCTCTTTTACATCTCCTTCCACATGTAAGTACATTGTTTTTTTTTTCCTATTAATAGTGCAGATGTTCCATTGAAGCACAGCAGTGTCCTTTGGTCAGTGGAAGCCTGTAAATAGAAAAAGGAGTCACAATGAAACGAAAGCATCTACTCTGATGACCTTGTGTTGTCCATCATCTTTTAAATCTCCTCTGCAGATGCATTTTTCTTAACTAGGTTAGAGCTAAAGTAAATGCACTACTAAGGATGCGAATATAGTGTACCCACACAATTTTATGCCAGCTGTTAGGAAAGGGATGAAGCAACTACAGGACTGTGGGGAAGGGAGAGTTTAGCCAGCTCAAGTCCTGCTGAAAAACCACTATTCTCTCCTAGTGGAAATATTGCTTGGGCATCATCCTTGTTATTTGCATTTGAAAAGTCACATTATTTCATCAGCCCTTTGGTGGATTTGACTATGGTGTAAAGCAGAGGTGGGTTCCTACCAGTTCGCACCTATTCGGTAGAACCGGTTCGTCAAATCTACCGAACCGGTTAGAAGAGGTTCCACCAATGG